GAAATAAACGTGTTTAGAAATCATTTCGGAATGTGCCACATTAAATGGAATACATGAGATTGGGGAAACACAGTGCAAACACAGTTTGGTTGGGGGGGGGGAATGATCGATGAATAGGAGGGGTGATAAAGTGGCTCAAGTCTTGCTTAGTCTTCCAGCTGTTGATCGGTCAGTCACCCTCTGGGTGATGGCTCCTCCTATTCGTATCGAAGGGGTTTCCTTTAATTCAGTGAATTCTGCCTTAATCCAGACTTCAGCCGCTTCTGAATGAAGGCAAGCCTACTTCAGCTCCACTTGCCAGTGCAGTGATGCCTTCCACTCTCTGGGTCCTTTAGTAATTGGTCACTTACCTAATGGGCAGGTAGATCCTTCCTATCCACTCGCCATAGGCTGCTCAAAGGTTTGTGGGTGTTTAATCAAAGCTAGACCCAGCCTCCTCTCTTCCAACATAACCAACCCAGGCCTGCCCAATCCTATTGCTTTCCTAGTTAGGATTGTAATCCTTGTCAAACTCAGAGGCAACAGAGCATGGAAATGGACCCTTCAGTTAAACTCATCCACGCTGACCGGGTTTCTGAAATTAAACTAGTCCCGTTTGCCTGGGTTTGGCCCATATCCCTCTAAATCTTTCCTCATCATGTACCTGTCCAAATGGCTTTTAAACATTTGTAACTACTTCCTCTGAAAGTTCATTTCACACATGAACCACACTGCGTAAAAAAAAATTGCTGCTTACATCTTTTTAAAACCTTTCCCATCTCGCCTTAAAAATATGCCCCCAGTCTTGAAATCCCCCATCCTAGGGAAAAGACACCTTATCTATACCCCTCATGGTTTTAGAAACTTCTATAAGGTCGCCTCTCGACCTCCTACGCTCCAGTGAAAAAGTCCCAGATTATCCAGCCTCTCCTTATAACTGAAAGCCTCAGTTCCTGGCAACATCCTGGTAAATCGCTTCTGAAACCTCTCGTTTAGGATATCTAGTCACCGTGGACTTGGATCGAAGGGTCAGTTTCCATGCTGTACATCTCTATGACTCTATGTCACCCTCCCAACCTCCTACGCTCCAGGGATAAAAAAAGTCTCAGCCTCTCCTTATAACTCAAACCCTCCGATCCCTGTAATATCCTTGTAAATCTTTCTGCACCCTTTCCAATTTAACATTCTCCTTCCTATAGAAGGATAACTGGAACCGTACACAGTAGTCCAAAAGTAACCTTACCAATGTCCTATACAGCAGCCATATGATGCCCCCATATTCAGTGCTCTGACCAATGAAGGCAAGCATGCTAAATGCCTTCTTTAGCAATCTGTGATGCCACTTTCAAGAAACTACGTACCTGAATGCTATGACAGTCTCCTTGGAGATTTCTTCTTGAGTAACAAGGTCCTCTTACCATAAGAGATGACCCGACGTAAACTCACTGTAATTCAAGCTTTATACATTTCAAAAAAATACACTCTCCCCCTCATCTTTCTTAAAAACAAAAGCGATCCCTAAACATGATGTGATTTGAACACTAGAATATCTGAGCCAGTCCAGCTCATCGTGGAAGAGGCACATAGAGAGGGATTCTGGGTAAATCAAGATGGAGTATGGGAGAAAACTGTGACTGTAAGAGCTGCTCTTCTAAGGTTTTTTTTTCAAGTGTTGGAGCCGATCTCCTCAAATTTTTTTTGGGAGCAGTAATTGCTGTTTTATTAGCTGTTGCATTGTTTTGGAACTTGGGGAAAAGAAGAGGCTGGTACAAATATAATATTTAAAAGGCATCTGGACATGAATAGGAAGGGTTTAGACGGATGTGGGCCAAATGGGACTCGATTAATTTGGGATATCTGGTTGGCATGGACCAGTTGGGCTGAAGGGCCTGTTTCAGTGCTGCACAACTCTGTGACTCTATTACTACCGTTCGCATTTATGTTCCTCCTGCCTGTTCTTAACTTGCCCTGAAATCTAACTACCTTGTTAGTATCCTGAATACAGACATTGTTGTACCTCTGTCACAAGCATACACTATTTAAGAGGCAGGTGATGTTTGGCACTGCCACTGTGCAGTAGCAGCATGAATGGTCGCTTACAGGGACACTACCATCAAGACAGAGAGCATCCAAATGGGGAACGTGGTCTATATAAATTTCAGTGCACGTTGGATGCTGGGGGGGTTACGCTGCGCATCACATAAACCACCATCATATCAAATAGCACGCCCCTTTGGTGTGATGGTTACGGGGAAAAGGCAGGAAAGTGGAGTTGAGAATTGTCAGTGATCTCCGCGAATGATGGGAGCAGATTTGACGAGCTTAAATGGCCTACTCTGTCTCCATGTCTCACGGCTTTTTGCTCTTTGCAGACAGGGAACGACATTGTACCTGCTTCAACTGAACGAAATCAACGACGTGCGCATTCTTGGGTCCACTTTTCAAGGCAAACCCTTGACCAATCAGAGGCAAGCTTCCTGGTTCCAATTTGAACATAGCTTGGCAGTTAACTGTCATACAGCACCTAACTGGTGCATTCTGCATTGCAACAACTCTTATCAATCAGAGGGCACTTGGTAACCAATCAGCACGCTCTGCTCTTATGATGAAAATGCTTTACCCCTTTACGTTTACATTCTTGCGAAGTATCCTATGAACAAAAGGAAGATTGGGGGGGCGGGGGAGTGGAGAAGGTCTTTTTCCAGAAAATGCTTGAGCTACATTTATTTTGTTACACTGTCGAATGCATTTCGGTTCCCGCCCCCATGTTCTTTCCATGAATATGACCATAATTGGAAAGGCCCACACTTGCTGTCCCTGCCTTAATCTCAGAGGGCCATTAAGAGTCATCATAGTGAGTCTGGAGTCACACAGAGCCCAGATCAGACAAGGATGGCACATTTCTTTCCCTCAAGGACATCAGTGGGCTTTTCTGACAACTGACCATCCCTATGGTCACCATCGCTGAGGGTAGCTTTATAAGAACTGGGAGCAGAAGCAGGCCATTTGGCCCCTTGATCCTGCCCCACTATTTAACACAACTATGACTGATCTCATATGGGCCTCTACTCCATTCATTCATAGACCATCCACTTTCCTGCCCTCTCCCCCCAATAACCCTTTAACAAGTCAAATATCTATCCCCTCCTTAAATTTACTCAACATCCCAGCATTTACCACACTCCAGGGTAGTGAATTCTGCAGATTCACCGTGAGAGATGCAATTCCTCCTTATTTGTTTTAAATCTGCTGGTCTCTTATCCTGACACTGTGACCTTTAGTTCCAGGTAGCTCCACATGAGGAAATGTTCTCCCTACATCTGCTTTGTGAATCCCCTTTAGCATCTTACATATATCTATTAGATCTCCATAGTCCATAGAATCCCTACAGTGTGGATCCCACCCAGACCCATGCCCCTGTAACCCACCTAATCTACACAGCCCTGAATACTTTGGGACAATTTAGCACATCCAATCCACCTGCCTCACGGTGCCAGGGGCCTGGGTTCAATTCCATCCTCAGGCCACTGCCTGCGTGGAGTTTGCACATTGTCTGCATGGGTTTCCTCCCACAGTCCAAAGATGTGCAAGCTAGGTGGATTGGCTATGCTAAATTGCCCACAGTGTTCAGGGATGTTTAGATTAGGTACGTTATTGGGGGGGGATGGGATGCTTTTAAGAGTCAGTGTGGACTTGTTGGGCCGAAGGGCCTGTTTCCACACTGTAGGGACTCAACGAACATCAGGCGTCCTCCACGTCCCACACCTGTAACTGGGGCCATTGCTAACATTCAGCCTCCACCTCAGACACGCATCCTGTCATTTCGGAGAAGTTAGTGCAGACATAATGGGTCAAATGGCCCCGTTTTATGCTGCAAACATCTGGGAACCTGAGGGTTAAAATTCCAATCAGCCAGATCAAGACTAGTGAGTAGATCAGAGACAAAAGCTGGAATTAATCAGCAGGCAGGTATTTACTATAACAAGATTACCAAAGGCTTCAGATGGGCTGAACGGCTGCTATCGGCCTTTTGATACCAAAAGCAAAAGAGAAATATGGTGGTTATGGCATCAAAGTGCCAGAGACCCAGGTTCAATTCCACCCTCGGGCGACTGTGTGTGGGAGTTTGCACAATTTCCCCGTGTCTGCATGGGTTTCCTCCAACGGTCCAAGGATGTGTCGGATTGGGGTGGATTGGCTATGCTAAAATGTGGGGTTACAGAGATGGGGTGGGATGCTCTTTGGAGCACCCTGCACTGCAGGGATCCTATGATTCCTGTATAAAATTAAGGGATGTGTAGGAGCAGAGATAACTAGGTGCTGTGTGCCTGAAAAAGGGTAGCTGGCTAGGTAAAGACAGCCATTAATAAAACACGCAGCAGTCTAGGCTTCATTAAACAAGGCAGAGGGTGCAGTGGCAGGGAAGACACAGGGTGGCGTACCACGTGGAGCTCTGAGAGCTATAGAAAGGTGCGACTGCACCGGAGAGAGGAGAAGAGGTTTACAAGAATGGTTCCAGGCATGAGGCACTTCAGTTACAGGGATAGAAAAGGAGAAAAAGGATGGAATAGGGTAGGAATGCCTCCAAGCTTTCCCCCTTCCTCCAACCAACAATGTGGAGACACCATCATTTATTCTGCACAGCCATCCAGAAATGCCAAGGTGAGGGGAGGGCCAACTCCACCACAAGGAGGCAGCGCAGGCTAGAAACTGGCTTCAGCTCTTACATTCCATAAACAGAAACGATATGTAGGTGGGTGCGGGTCAGCAGTGGAGAGAAAAGGAGAGAGCTCAGTCCTCGCAATCGTTGCCATGCAATACTTTAGCCCATGTAAAAATGAACACATGGCCAAGGGGCATCTGATTCCTACATAGCGAGAGCTCTGGTCTTCACCAGCACCTTCAGGAGAGGCTTCACATTGAGGAAGGTTCTAGGTGGCCCAGAGCAGGCCCCTTTGTTTTGAAAGTCTCGTTACGTTATTCTGCACTCAAGATAAAAACGCACAAGCAAACTACAGGACTCCAAGAGAACGTTTAATTCTGAGACACGGGAAGGTCTAATGTACCATTTTACCACCGAACACACAATAGTAAACACAAGGCTGCCAACAGACAAATAAAATCCAACAAAGACATAAAATGCCACAGAAACTCAGGACTGGGGGACAGAGAAACCGACGAGCTGCTCCAGCACTGCACGTTTGTTTCCGATCCAATGCCCCATGCTATTTGGCTTTGATCAGAGATCTTAATTCAACTACCGCCTTCTCTTCCGGGTTACATTCACCTTGAAGACATTCCGAAGAGTTGCTGCACTGGACGGCAAACGTTAACCCGGTTTCTCTTGCCAGCGACACAGCCAGACCTGCTCAGTTTCTCCAGCACCGCTGCTGCCACCTCAGTTAAAACTCAAGTGGAAATGCTCACAGCCAGCTCCCCAGTCCCAGGAGCCACGACAGTTGAAGGCCGGTTTCCCCCTCGTTGCAGCCCCTTTCTGCCCCGTCGTCAGCCCAGTAGTTGCGTTCAGAGTCTGGCCGAAAAGGTTCCCGATCACTCCCCAGGAGACAACGGCAGCCGGGACTCTGTCAGGAAGGCCAAGCAAGCACTCGCTGGGTTCAAGGGCAGCTTGGGGCTGAGGCACCAGATGTCAGGTGTAGCAGGCCAGCGAGACTCCGTGGGCGGGGAGGGTGGTTGGGGAGAGAGACAGAGCGCAGGGAGCCAAGAAGATGCTGCCTGAACTCAACTGCTCTGTCAAACAACAGAGGCGGGCACGAAAAATGACAGCGACGAGTTACAAAATGGGAGCCTGCTGTTAGATTTTCGATCTGTTCAAATTCTACGGCCAGATGCGGTTCCGGATGCATGGCAATTCCCTACGCCCCTGCCCGGCCGGCTGGTTTATTCAGGCAGAGCTGTCGCGGTTTTGCAAGTTCAATCAAATCCCCAAGGCAGTGACTGCGTTTCTCTCTCTCTCTCTGTGTGTGCTAACTCACTGGACGGGAAGCCTCGCCCGACTCTATGCTCAGGTACCTCCTCTTCTTGGCGGTGTTGGTGTACGGGTGCCAACGCCATTCTGTGTCGGAGACCTGCTCGTTTTCCAGCGTTCCCAGCTTAATCTGATACACTGCCACAGGGGTCAGGAAAGAGAGAGAGAGCAGAGTTACTGGACGTGCACAGTTCATGTCACACGGGCTGAGGCAGGGGGGCTATGACGACTCCGAACGGTTTGGAGGAAAACGTGGCAGGTCTAATTAGTAAAAGTCTGCAGAAGATACAAAGATTGGTGGAGTTGCGGATAGTGAGGAGGATCGTCAGAGGATACAGCAGGATATAAATCAGTTGGAGACATGGGCAGAAGAGTGGCAGATGGAGATTAATCTGGAGAAATGTGGGGTGATGCAATTTTGGAAAGTGGAGTAGAGGTGGAAATTATACAGTGAATGGCAGAACCCTTCCGTGTATTGATATGCAGAGGATCTGGGTGTGCAGGTCCACAGAACACTGAAGGTGGCAAAGCAGGTAGATAAGGTAGTTAAAAATGGCCTATGACATGCTTACCTTCATTGGATGGGACATTGAGTACAAGGACAGACAAGTTATGCTACAGTGTTATCGAACTTTTGTTAGGCCACACTTAGAACATTGCGTACAGTTCTGGTCACCACACTACCGAAAGGATGTGGCTGCTTTGCCTGGTATGGGGGTGGATTTTAGCTATGAAGAAAGGTTGGACAGACTGGGTTTGTTTTCACTGGAGTGCAGGAGGTTGAGAGGCGACATTGATAGAAGTTTAAAAGATTGTGAATGACAGGGATAGAATGGAAAGTATGAGGCTTTTTTCCAGGGTGGAAGGGATCAATTATTAGGGGACACAAGTTCAAGGTGTGAGGGGAGATGTTTAAAAGAAATGGGCGAGGCATGTTTTTCACACAAAGGGTGGCAAGTGCCTGGAACATGCTGCCAGAGGAAGATGGTGGAAGCAGATACAATAGCAGCATTTTCTGAAGAAGGGTCTAGGCCTGAAACATCAGCTTTCCTGCTCCTCTGATGCTGCTTGGCCTGCTGTGTTCATCCAGCTCTACACCTTGTTATCTCAGCAGCATTCAAGAAGCACCTGGATGAACGAACAAACCGGACGGGGATAGAGGAATATGGATCCTGTAAGAGACGAATGTTTGACTGGGAGGGCGAAATGTGGCAGCACAGGCTCGGAGGGCTGAAGGTCCCGTTCCTGTGCTGTACTGTTGAGTTCTCTCGCCAGTGGAAATAATGCAGAAAAAAAAACTCATTACGTCCCCGGCCTAGAGGCCTACACAGAGCGAACATGGATAAGAGGTTTCCACTGGTGGGAGACACGAGGATGCGAGGGCACAGCCTCAGAGTAAAGGGACAGATAGCCCTTTACAATTGAGATGAGGGGGAATTTCTCCAGCCAGAAGGTGGTGAATTTGTGGAACCCATTGCCACAGAGGGCTGTGAAGTTTTTGAGTGCATTTAAGGCAGAGGTGGATAGGGTGGCTCAGTGGTTAGCACTGCTGCCTCTCGGCACCAGGGTCCTAGGTTCAATTCCAGCCTCAGGTGACCGTCTGTGTGAAGTTTGCTCATTCTCCCTGTGACGGAGTGGGTCCCCTCTGGGTGCTCTGGTTTCCTCCTGCAAAGATATGCAGGTTAGGATGGGCTGGCAAATTACAATTCAGCAGCATTGTCATACTGCTCAATGCAGTATTACAGGGATAGGTTTGAGGGCTGGGTTTTGGCAGATGCTCTTTGGAGGGGCCGAATGGCCTATTTCCATGCATGCTATGACCCACATAAGTTCTCGATTAGGAAGGGGATCGGGGGCGAATCACATCAGCCATGATCAAATGGCAACACAGACTAGAAGGGCCAATTGGCCTAATTCTGTTCCTGGTCCCACAGTAGGTGAGGCTGTTCAGCCCATCAGATGTGCCGCTATCAAAGCAAAAGCACTGTGGATGCTGGAGATCAGAAACCAAAACAAAGTGCAAGAAAAATTCAATAGGTCTGGCAGCACCCGTAGAGAGAGAAGCAAAGGAAATAACTGTTTCTCTCTCCCCAAATGCTGCTTCTTTATTTATTCATTTACAGGATGAGGGTGTTGCTGGCTGTGTAGTATTTATTGCCTGTCCCTAATTGCCCAGAGGGCAGTTTAAGAGTCAACCACATTGCTATGGGTCTGGAGTCACATAGGCCAGACCAGGTAAGGATGGCAGTTTCCTTCCCTAAAGGACATCACTGAAACAGATGGGTTTTTCCTGACAATGGACAATGGATTCAATCATTAGATTCCTAAATCCAGATATTTCATTGAATTCAAATTCCACCATCTGCCGTGGCGAGATTTGAACCCGGGTCCCCGAGATGTTATCTGGGTCTCTGGATTAACAGGCCAGCGATAATAGCACTAGGCCATCACCTCCCCCTGCTAGGTTTCTCCTGAGATAGTAGGAACTTCAGATGCTGGAGAAACCTGAGATAACAAGGTGTAGAGCTGGATGAACACAGCAGGCCAAGCAGGTCATTTCTGAAGAAGGGTCTAGGCCTGAAACGTCAGCCTTCCTGCTCCTCTGATGCTGCTTGGCCTCCTGTGTTCATCCAGCTCTACATCTTGTTATCTCAGGTTTCTCCAGCCGTTTGCTGCACAACCAAATCGGTTTAAGCACTCTTGCTCACTTCCCACAGCCTTTAAAAGTTCTATGGTGCTGTTTCCTCACTGAGGGTCATCATGGTGTGGGCTTTTCTTGCCCAGTAAGCGGTACAGGCCTGGTCTTTTAAATTCAGAGAAGGCTGACTTAAGTTTTTGAGCGAGGAGGCAGCCAAGGAAGGTAGGTGGGGCTGACACACAACCAGAATCCTGGGGAGAACGCAGAATTCAGACCACAACTGGATCAGCCATGATCTCTCCGAATGGTACAGCAGGCCCCAGGGGCTGAATGGCCTGCTGCCCAAGGGTCCTCTTGCTTAAACCATCACCCAATCATAGCACCGCACAGTGCCCAAGAGGCCCTTTGGCCCATCGGGTCTGTACTGGCAGAAATACATTAAAGCTGCACTATTCCCATTTTCCTTGCTCTAGCCTTGAAGTGTTTGCCAAGTAACTTTTGATTTGAAAATGTGACAGTTTTTCTGCCTCAACTACTCTCCCAGGCAGTGCATTTCAGACCCCCACCACTGTCTTTTCCTCAAAACCCCTCTAAACCACTTGCCTTTTGCTTTAAATTATGCCCCATAAAAGGTGTAGCCAAGGTGAAACAGCTGCTTTCTACCCACCCTGTCCATGTTTCTCATCATTTTATAGACTTGCAACAGGTTGCTCCCTCTGTCTCTGCTCCAAACAAGAACAACCCCAGCCTCTCTTCATAGCTGAAATGCTCCATTCCAGGCAATGTCTTGGTAAATCTCCTCTGCATCCCCTCCAGTGCAATCACGTCCTTCCCATAGTGTGCCGACCGGAACTGCACAGAGTACTCTGCCTGTGAACTAACCAATGTGCTCCAACATAACCTCTCTGCTCCTATAATCTATGCCTCAACTGATAAAGGCAAGTGCCCCGTATGTCTTCTTAATTACCCTATTAACCTGGGCTTCTTCCAAGAACCTCTGGCATTCCCCCCCCCCACAGTCAAAAGATTTGGAGGTTAGGTGGACTGGCCATACTAAATTGCCCATAGTGTCCAGAGATGTACTGGCTAGGTGGGTTAGACATGGGATGTGCAGGGTTATGGGGATAGGGTAAATGTCTGGTCTGGGTGGGATGCTCTTTGGAGGGTGGGTGTGCACTCAGTGGGCTGAATGGCCTACTTCCACACTGTAGGGACTCTGATTTCCACGCAGCGGGGTCCCAAACGGTGTCAGTCTTCTTCAATGTTGTTGAAGCTGCACTCAGCCAGGCAAGCGGAGAGTACAGTAACTGGTCAACAGCACACAGGCTTTGGGGAGTCAGGAGGGGAGTTACTCGGCACAGAAACTCCCAGCCTCTGACCTGCTCTTGTAGCCATTGTATTGACACGGCTGGGTCCAGTTCGGTTTCTGGTCTTCCCACCAAGGATATTGATATGCGCAATGCCACAGGCTGTTGCCCAAAGCAGGGGGGGTGGGTGCGGAACTCCAGTAGCCCGTATCATTAGAGGCTGGTCACATGGAGGGGACACTTACGTTTCATTTCGAACCTGGGGCCCACTTCCGTCAGCTCGATGTTTTTGTGATCCACCTTCCTGTAGACGTGATGCCTAGGAAGCAGACAATGGAAAATGTTATGCTCTATTGTGGCCCACCTCCAACACCCTGTCAAGGAGTCTGACAAACACCAGCTGCACCTCTCATACACGGGAAAGATGCAGACAATTAATGACCAACGCCACGAGAGATTCATTCGGCCACAGAGAGAGAGGGGGGGGAATGCGGGAGATGGCCTGACTCTGCCCTCAGCTGATACAAGGCTTCCAGGAGATGGTGCAACAACGTTCCCGACTGATGTGCCAGTTGCCTCAAGGGTACTGAGGCCAACTGGGGAATCTCCAGGGTTGCTGTGGATGACAACTTTGGAGAAATCACAAATGGCAGAGACATCAAACAGAAGTGTTGCTTTTGTATTTGGTGAAGGCGAGTTATAGCCCAAAAAGACAGGGAAACCTAGAGGCTCACGAGATGGAGAGGCCCAAGGTAATTAGAATCAGAGGAGAGAAAGCATTCAAGAAATTCATGGGAGTGGAATCTGTCAAATCCCTAGGACCTGATCGTCTGGAGCCGTCTGTGGGTCATAGACTTCGCAAATGGGCTGCATAGGCAGTCCTTCAGCAAGAACTCACTGAACTTAAAGGAAGCCAATGATGAGCGTTATGGGAATGGCTTGGCGCTGAAGTGTTCAATAAACCATAAACATTAAATAGTGGAGCAGGCTCGACAAGGTTAAATGGTCTGACACTCCTACAAAAGGGTAGTTAGTCATGGAGAAGTTTCAGAAATTGGTTAAGCTCTGCCTCCCAGCGTCCAGACACACAGATGCTCACAACAGTGATGTTTTCAATAGTCTTGTCAAGAGACAGGTCTTCCACTTGTGAGGACAGAAATGGCACGCTATTGTGGGAAAATTGGTTGTTGTGAATTTAGTGGAAGGTTTTGGTGCTTTTAAACTTGGAAATGAAACAAAGAGTCACGCACCAATAGAATAGGTCACTAGCAGATCAAGAGATTGTCATTGTACTCGGGATTGTTATTTTTGGTGCTGGCAGGGCTCAAATCCAATAGATGTTGCCGCCTGATAATTGTCCCCATTCAGGGAGAGATTCCAAATAGAGGAGCTGGTTGTTAAAACGAATGACCAAGTGGTGTGTAATCATCTGATAAAGCTGTGGTTGTAAAGAACATCATATGGAAACCTGAGCTTGCAGTTGGAATTATAAATATAGGCAGAGCGTACGAAAGTCAAAATCAGAGCAAAGCTTATACAGTTAATGGTGGGGTCCTGGGGAGTGTTGCCAAACAAAGAGACCTCGGGGTACAGATGTGTAGTTCCTTGAAAGTGGAGCTGCAGATAGACAGGCTGGTGAAGGTGGCATTAGGCATGCTTGCCTTCATTGCTCAGTGCATTGAGTATAGAAATTGGGATGTCATGTAGCTGTACTTGACATTGGTGAGGCCACTTTTAGAATGCGGTGTTCAATTCTGGTCTCCCCGTTATTGCAAAAATGTTAAATTTGAATCAGAAAAGATTTACAAGAACGTCACCAGGATTGGTTTGATTGCTTTCCTTCATTGGCAGAGGTATAGAATACCACAGTAGCGGGATAATGAAAGTGTACAAGACACCGGTGAGGCCATAGTTGGAGTACTGCATGCATTTCTGGTCACTACATTACAGGAAGGGCGTAATTGCTCTGGACAGTGTAGAGAAGATTTATAGAATCCCCACAGCGTTGAAGCAGGCCATTCGGTCCTTCAAGTCCACACTGTCCCTCCGAAGTGTCCCACCTAGACCCACCCCACTACTCTATAGCTGCATTTCCCACAGCTAATCCACCCAGCCTGTACAACCCTGGACACTATGGGGCAATTTAGCATGGCCAATCCACCCTAACCTGCTCATCTTTGACTAGAATGTTGCCAGGGCTGCAGAACTATATTTACGAGGAGAGAGTGGAGAGAATGGGGTTGTTTTCCTTCGAACAGAGAAAGCTGAGGGGATGACTGAGGTATTCAAAGCTGTGAGGGGTAGAGATAGTGTAGAGGAAGAACCTGTTGGGGTGACAGTCTCGGATTAAGGGGCTGATCTTTCAGGGGTAAAAAGGAGAAGTTACTGCACTCTCCAGCTCTACACTTATCTAGTTTCGGGAGACTTGGTCAGCATGGATGAGTTGCACTGAAGCGTCTGTTTCTGTGCTGTATGGCTCTAAGCCCTGGGTTCAATTCCACCCTCGGGTGACTCTCTGCGTGGAGTCTGCACATCCTCCTTGCGTCTGCGTGGGTTTCCACCAGGTGCTCCAGTTTCTTCCCAAAGATGTGCAGGTTAGGGCGGATTGGCCATGCTAAATTACCTTGCAGGGAAGGATGGATTAACTGGGGTAAACACGGCATAAGTGGGGGAAGCTTGGGTCTGAGCAGGCTGCTCTTCAGAGGTTCAGTGCAGACTTCATGGGCCAAATGGCCTCTACCTAGACTGTAGGGATTCCACGAGTCTATCTTAAAGAGGAGCAAACTGACGGATAGAGATCAAGGAAGTGGAAATGGAGACCTGCCCTGGCCCCACCACAACTGATAGGATGGGATGACGTGGGATGCTGCAGGGATACTGAGAAACTAAGGATGGAAATTGCAAAGGCCCGTTCTCAAGTCACAGGAGAGACCGGAGAACCGTGAATACTACCCCCGTTGCAACAATTTAAGATACGGACCATTGATTTTTTTGAATCCCAGCCGCCAGTTTCACGGACTGAGTGAAAAAGTTTGTTTCCCAAACCCCCTCTGAATCTCCCACCCCTTACCCTAAGGCTATGCCCGCTCATGGTTAACCCCTCAACCAAGGGGAACAGCTCCTCTGTTCAGCCTGTCCGTACCCTTCAATTTTATACACCTCAATTATGTCCTCTGTCAGTCTTCTCTGCTCTATAGAAAACAATCCAAGCCTATCCAGTCTCTCCTTATAGCTCAATTTCTCCATCCCAGGAAACGTCCTGGTGAACCTCCTCTAGTGCTATCACATCCTTCCGGTAGTGAGGTGACCAGAACTGCACACAGTACACTCCCATCTGTAGCCTGACCAACGCTCTGTACAACTCCGACATTACCTCCTGGTTCTTAAACTCTATGCCACGACTGATGAAAGCAAGTGTCCCATACGTCTCCTTAACCATCCTATTCACGTGCTCTGCCAACTTCAGGGCTCTGTGAATAATTACCCCACGATCGCACAGTGTTCGTTACCATTCGCAACTCTTCAGATAATCAAACAGTCCACGTGCAAAACTGATAAGCCCCCACCCACCCTGGGAGCAGCATGGTACCAAAAGCAGAAAAACATGGCATAAAAGAGACACATACACCCTCAAGCTTGAGCTTAGGACTTAGCAAAACGTGCTCAAACACAGGGAAGCAGACGGGATACAGAAATGCACACGGGTATTATTCGACTATTCGTTAACAACGCAGACTGAAGATGTGGAAATTCAAGGGAAGTGCCATCACCACTCACAACACCATGTTCACACAGTAATGCCTCTACCTCCTCAGGAGGCTAAGGAAACTCGGTGTATCCCTTACCAGTTTTTACAGATCGACCATGTACCACAGATAGCATTCTGTCTAGATACATCATGGCTTGGTATGGCAACTGCTCTGCGCAGAACCCTAAGAAACTATACAGCCCAGTCCATGACACAAGCCAAGCTTCCATCCAATTACTCCATCTACACATAGAACAGTACAGTACAGTACAGGCCCTTCGGCCCACAATGTTGTGCCGACCTATTATCCTACTCTAAGATCAAGCTACCCTGCATACTGTTCATTTTACTATCATCCATGTGCCTATCCAAGAATTGCTTAAATGTCCCTAATGTATCTGACTCTATTACCACCGCCGGCAGCATATTCCACACGCTCACCACTCTGTGAAGAACCTACCTCTGACATCTCCCCGAAACCTTCCTCCAATCACCTTAAAATTATGCCTCCTCGTAATAGTCATTTCCACCCTGGGAAAAAGTCTCTGGCTATCCACTATCTATGCCTCTCATCATCTTGTCCACCTCTACCAAGTCACCTCTCATCCTTCTTCGCTCCAATGAAGAAAGCCCTAGCTCCCTCAACCTTTCCTCATAAGACCTGCCCTCCAGTCCAGGCAGCATCCTGGTAAATCTCCTCTGCACCCTCTCCAAAGCTTTCAACTCCTTCCTATAATTAGACGACCAGAACTAAACACAATATTCCAAGTGTGGTCTAACCAGGGTTTTATACAGCTGCAGCATAACCTCACGGCTCTTAAACTCAATCCCCCTGCCAATGAAAGACAATACACCATACGCCTTCTTAACAACCCTATCAACTTGGTGGCAACTTTGAGAGATCTATGGTCGTGGACCCTAAGATCCCTCTGTTCCTCCATTCTGCCAAGAATCCTGCCATTAACCCTGTATTCTGCATTCAGATTTGACCTTCCAAAATGAATCACTTCACAGTTTTCGGGTTGAATTCCATCTGCCACTTTTGCCCAGCTCTGCATCTCGTTACAAGCTACAACAGCCCTCCACACTATCCACAACTCCACCAACCTTCATGTCTTACTAACCCACCCTTCCACTTCCTCATCCAAGTCATTTATAAAGATCGCAAAGAGCAGAGGTCCCAGAACAGATCCCTGCAGAAAACAGCCGGTCACCGAGCTCCAGGCTGTATACTTTCCAACCACATCCCACCCTGTCTTCTATTGGACAGCCAGTTTTGTATCCAGACAGCCAAATTTCCCTGAATCCCATGTGTCCTTACTTTCTGAATGAGCCTACCATGGGGAACCTTATCAAATGCCTTGCTAAAATCCATATACACCACATTCTCAAAGAATTCAACAAGGCTTATGAGGCATGACCTGCTCCTCTCAAAGCCATGCTATTTCTAATCAACTATGCTTTGCCAAATAATCATAAATACTATCTCTCAGAGTCTTCTCCAATAATTTGGCCACCACAGAAGAAAGACTGACTCGTCTGTAATTCCCAGGATTATCCCTATTCCCTTTCTTGAAAGAGGGAATAACATTTGCCACCCTCCAATCATCTGGTACTACTCCAGTGGAGAGTGAGAATGCAAAGATCATCGCCAAAGGGGCGGCAATCTCTTCCCTCGCTGCCCCTAATAACCTTGGGTATATCCCGTCTGGCCCAGGGGACTTATCTGTCCTCACGTTTTTCAAAATTTCTAGCATATCCTCCTTCCTAACATCAACCTGTTCGAGCATATCAGCCTGTTTCATGCTGTCCTCACAAACTATAAGGTCCCTCTCACTGGTGAATACTAAAAAGCAAAGTATTCATTAACGACCTCCCCTACCTCCTCCGACTCCAGGCACAAGTTCCCTCCACTATCGCAGATTGGCCCTATGCTTACTCTGGCTAGCCTCTTGTTCCCCCCAAGTATAGAATGTCTTGGGGTTTTCCTTGATCCTATCCGCCAAGGCTTTTTCATGCTCCCTTCTAGCTCTCAAGTCCATTCTTCAGTTCCTTCCTGGCTACCTTGTAACCCTCTAGAGCCCTGTCCGATCCTTGCTTCCTCAACCTTAAGTAAGCTTCCTTCTTCCTCTCGACTAGATGTTCCACATGTCTTGTCATCCAAGGTTCCTTCACCTTACCACCCCTTCCAGCCTCAGTGGGACAAACCTATGCAGCACTTGTAGCAAGTGCTCCCTAAACAACCTCCACATTTCTGTCGTGTATTTCCGAGAACATCTGGTACCAATTTATGCTCTGCAGTTCCTGCCTAATAGCGTTGTAATTCCCCCTCCCCCAATTAAATACTTTCCCATACCATCTGCTCCTATTCCTCTCCACGACTAGACTAAAGGTCAGGGAGTTGTGATCACTATCACCGAAATGCTCTCCCACCGAGAGATCTGACACCTGGCCTGGTTCATTGCCAAGTGCCACATCCAATATGGCCTCCCCTCTAGTCAGCCTACCTACATATTGATAGAGAAATCCTTCCTGGACACCTAACAACAATTTCAAGAACAGTTTCTTTCTCACTGTTATTAGACAGCTGAAAGGACCTCTCAAATTTTAAATTTAACATTGATCTCGCTCTTTGTGCGCCTTCTCCACAGCATAATGTATTCCTCGCTCTGTTCTATTACCCTGATGCACTTTGTGGGGTACAATCTGCCTGTACTGCACGCAAAAACAAAACTTTTCATTGTACCTAGGTACACGTGATAGTGTAAAATCAAATCAAATCACAGCTGTTGACGCCCTCCCAAAACGTACCTGAAAGAGATGAAGTCATCCTGGTTGGCGAATGTGATTACTCTTTTGCTTTCTCCTTTAGGGACCGGGAATAAATACTTCAGGATACTGGTTACCTGCGGTAAAACGAGGCAGTCATCAGCAGGAATCCACTTGACAACACACACCTCAGCTGATGGTATGTGTGATGGTACTATGTCTTTAATAGACATTTGCCTTCTGCTATCTCTTGCAGAGAGGTGTTGCCAGAAAGTCTGCTTCAGACACAGTGGGTAAACAGCCCGAGTGTTGTTTTAAAATTAGGCAAAAGAAGGAGTGCATGGAGTCAGGCTCTCACGGACCCAGGGTTTTAGTTTTGCTTTCGGTTGGGGTTTCTTGAAGCTGATAGCTACAGTGCTTTCTCTGCTGCTGCAAACAGCTTGAGTTCTCTCTCTGTTGTTGGATTGGTTCTTTCGGTATTCCTTTCTTCTGGGTTAGAACGGAGAAAGCACATGAGGAAAATCTGATTTGCTGAATTTGGGCCTAACTTTTATCTTGTTGATACAAGGGAGAAGCCTGACATTAGTGATGGGCAAGTTGTTGGAGGGGATCCTGAGGGACAGGATTAACTGATTTGGAAAGGCAAGGACTGATTAAGGATCGTCAGCATGGCTTTGTGTGTTGCAAATCATGTCTCAATAACTCAATTGAGTCTTTTGAGTAACAAAGAGGATTGAAGGCGGCAGAGCAGTGGACATGATCTATATGAACATAAGTAAGGCATTCAAAAAGGTTCCACATTGTAGATTGCTTTAGCAAGGTTAGATCATATGGAACACAGGGAGAACTAGCCATTTGGATACAGAACTGGCTCGAAGGTAGAGACACAGGGTGGTGGTGGTGGAGGGCTGCTTTTCAGACTGCAGCCCAAAGACCAGAGGTGTGCCACAAGGATCGGTGCTGGGTCCACTGCTTTTCGTCATTTATATAAATTATTTGGAATGTGAATACAGAAGGTATAGTTCGTAAGTTTGCAGATGACACCAAAATTGGAGGAAGTGTAGTGGACAGCCAAGATTACCTGAGCACAACTGAATTGAGCACCTTGATCAGATGGGCCAATGGGCTGAGGAGTGGCAGATGCAGTTTAATCTAGATAAATGAGAGGTCACGTTGTGGCTATACAGGACATTCGTTAGGCCACTTTTGCAATACTGTGTTCAATTCGGGTCTCCGTGCTATAGGAAACTTGTTGTGAAACTTGAAAGGGTTCAGAACAGATTTACAAGGATGTTGTCAGGGTTGGAGGGTTTGAGCGAGAGCAAGAGGCTGAATAGGCTGGTGCTATTTTCCCTGGAGCGCCGGAGGTGGAGGGGTGACCTTATAGAGATTTATAAAATCATGAGGGGCATGGTTAGGATGAATAGCTAAGGTCTTTCCACAGGGTGGAGTCATCCAGAACTAGAGGGGCATAGGTTTAAGGTGAGAGGGGGAAAAGATTTAAAAAGGGACTAAAGAAGCAAATTTTTCATGCAGAGGGTGGTGAATGGAATAAGCTACCAGAGGAAGTGGTGGAGGCTGGTACAATTACAACATTTAAAAGGCATCTGGATAGGTACATGAATAAGAAGGGTTTAGAGGGGTATGGGCCAAATGCTGGGAAATAGGACTAGATTAATTTAGGATATCTGGTCGGCATGGACAAGTTGGACTGAAGAGTCTGTTTCCGTGTTGTACAGCTCTATGACTAAGTATAAGGCTGTGTTCTAGATGTAATTTGATTGGTCAAACTACTAGACTTTAAGCAAAACACACTTTATTCCTACAACAGTTAAAATGCAAACAAAAAAATGTCAGCATAACTTTAACTCTATTGAAATACTTGAAAGAATATATTATTTAACTGTTATTCAAAACTGTTCCAATATAGCAGCATCCCATAAACACACTTGGCAAAGGCAAGTTCACCAAAACAGACTTCCCTCACTTGCTATCTCCTTCAGTCCAGGAGAAGGAACACTAATCAAATGAATCTAGCAGCAGAGAGAGAACTCAAGCTTTTGCAGCAGCAGCAGGGAGAGAGCTGTATCCATCAGCTTTAACTTCAACAATCCCAACCTCAAAAATTGAAAGTAAAATTAGAACCCTGGGTTTGTGTGAGCCTTACTCCGCACACTCATGGTTCTTTTGCCTACTGTCTGCTGTCCGTGGAGCAGATACCTCGGCACCAGGTTTACGCTAACCCTCTTCGAGAGAGCCAGGACAGACAAATCCCACTTAAAGGCACACATTGTCATGATCCAATGGTGGCTGCTACACCACTCTCCTTCCTGCTCCCCATTAGCCTAGAGACCTTTAGGATCTTGAAGGCTTATGAACCAGAGGACACAGGTTTAATGCTGAATGGCAAGAGAATCACAACAGTTACAGAATAGGAGGTGGCCGCTCAGCACATCGCATCTGCACCGGCTCTTCAACTGAGCAATTTACCTTGTTTCATCCTCCAGCCTTCCTGTAACCTCATATATGCTTCCCAAGACCACAGAAGTAGGAACAGAAGGAGGCCATTCAGCCCCTCTAATCTACTCCACCATTCATGGCTGATGCTTCACGTCCACATTCCCGCTCTTTCCCTTTCAACCTTAGATTCCTGATCAGTTAGGGAATCTCAGCCTTAAATATACACAAGGACTCTGCTCCCACAGTTCTCTGCGACAAGGAGTTCCAAAGATTTACAACCCTCAGAAGAAATCCCTCCTCATCTCGGTCTTAAATTGGCATCCCTTTGCTCCGAGACTGTCATCCAGTCCATGACGCTCCCAGTAGGGGAAACGTCCTATCAGCATTCACCTTGTCAAATCCTTGAAGAATCTTATACGTTTCAATCCTCGACCAGATAACAATCCAATTTTGTGACAGAATCTGCCTCCACTGCACTCTCGGGTAGTGCATTTCAGATCTTAACCAGCGAGGACAAGGTCTGTCCTTATGTCTCTATTGCTCATTATCTTAAATCAGTGCCCCCTCATACTCACCCCCTTCACAAGTGGGGAATAGTTTCTCCCATTTACTCTGTCCAGACCAGTCATGATTTTTGAATACTTCTGTCGAGTCTCCTCAGTTTTTTCTCCTTCAGGCAAAACAGTCCCGACTCCTCCAATCTATCCACATGATTGCAGTTCCTCACCTCTGGAACGATTCACTCAATCTTTCCTGCACTCTCTCCAGTGCCTTCACATCTTCCTGAGAATACGGCACCCAGAACTGGATACAATCCTCCAGCTGAGGCTGAACCAGTATCTTTTACAAGTTCGACATCACCTCTATTTTTAACGTTGTCTCTCTCTTTATTAGCGAAACATAGGACACTCTATTGAATACAGAGGATCCTGGAGAAACTTGAACACAGTATTGCAAAAGTGGCCTAACGAATGTCCTGTATAGCCATAACATGACCTCCCAATTCCTATATTCAATGCGCTGACCAATAAAGGTAAGTACACCAAATTCTGCCTTCACTATCCTGTCAACCTGCAACTCCAAGGTCTTTTCTGAACTCTTTCAAGTTTCACAACATCCTTCCTACAGCAGGGAGACCAGAACTGAACGCAGTATTCCAAAAGTGGCCTCACCAATGTCCTGTATAGCCACATGACCACCCAACTCCTCTACTCAATGCTCTGACCAATAAAGGCAAACATACCAAACACCTGCTTCGCCACCCTGTCTAACTGTGACTCCACCTTCAAGGAAATATGACCCTGCACTCCAAGGTCTCTTTGCTCAGCAACACTCCACAGAACCTTACCATTAAGTGGACAGGTCCTGCCCTGATGTGTCTTTCCAAGAATGCAGCACCTCACATTTGTCTAAATTAAACTCCATCTGCCACTCCTCGGCCCATCTGATCAAGGTCCCATTGTACTCCGAGGTAACCTTTTTTACTGTCCACTACACAACCAGTTTTGGTGCCATCGGCAAACTTACTAACCGTACCTCCTATGTTCACATTCACATCATTTATATAAATGATGAAAAGCAGTGGACCCAGCACTGGTCCTTGCAGCACACCGCTGGTCACAATCCGAAAAGCAACCCTCCACCACCACCCTCTACCTTCGAGCCAGTTCTATACCCAAATGGCTAGGTCTCCCTGTATTCCATGTCATCTAACCTGGCTAACCATGCAGAACCTCAAACGCCTTCCTGAAGTCCATATAGATCATGTGCACCGCTCTGCCTTCAACAATCCTCTTTGTTACTTCTTCAAAAATAAAACATCTCAATTTGAAAGGAAAAAAAAATCTCCAGGGCTGCTGGAGAAAAGTGGGCCAGGCTGGGCTGTCCTTGCAGAAAGCTGGCATGGACCTGATGTGCTGGCGTGCTTGCATCCACGGCCAGCCCTACAGATCTGATTAGACAGCGAGCCACATTTGTGCTCTACTTTAGATACACAAAAGCCGGTGCACTCAGATTTTTTTTTTCCGAAAGCACGCACAGGTAAAGAGAGCGTGGAGGCGCTCAGCGGGGTTAACCCCGCCACGCCGTACCTACCCTCAGGCCGAGCTTCGAGTTCAGGCTGTGGAAGATGAGATGAGGGTAGGCTTCGGACATGGTGCCGATCTTTGGGATGTCATGGCGCATCACCACATTGGAGAGGGTGAAGTACGCGGTGGGGCCGAATGGCAAGTGGCACACGATAAGGCCGTCTGGGTGAAGAACGGAATGGAGGGTGGCGAGGGAGGAAAGAAAAAGAGCAGGTTAGCCAGTTTTTTATTTTCAACCTCAACTGCAGCTTGTATTTGGCCTTCTGTGTAGCATTTTATCTAATGGAAAAGGCCAATATATTACATCTACTGATTCCCCTTTATCTACCCTCAAAAGTTGCTTCTTGAAACCAAGCAGCGAATTAATTCGGTTGCCCCTTTTGCTTGGTTCAAATCATGCCACGTTTCGCAAGGGCATTCTTAAGATTTCCTTCGTAATAAATCCCAGCATCTTTATCATGACGGACATTAGGCCCAATTGGCTAGCCACTCCCAGTTTCATGAGAGCACAGTCATATCTGCAAACTTCCAATCCAGTGCGACTGTTCCTGTATCTAAAAGGTTACGGCTAGCGAGGTGAAAGACTGTTTCTTTTACAACCACCGGGTACAGGGCAGCTCAGTGGTCAGCACTGCTGCCTCACAGCGAGCGGCTCGGGTTCGATTCCAGCCTGAGGTGACTGTCTCTGCAGAGTCTATATGTTCTCCCAGTGTCTGCATGGATTTCTCCCAGGTGTTTTAACTGCACAGGACCCCACTCCACCAGGAGATTCTGCAAGTTGATGATTCCTAGGGATTTCAGTTTGTACTCCCAAGTACTATCGTAAGTACTTTTCATCTACTGACATTAATTATTTTATCATAGAATCCCTATGTTGCAGATCCAGGCCATTTTGCCCATCAGGTCTACACCAACCACAGCGTCACACATCATGGAAACAGGCCCTTCGGCCTAAACTGGTCCATACTGCCCACTCAGCTAGTTCCAATTGCCCACACTTGGCCCATATCCCTCTAAACCCTTCTCATCCATGTACCTATCCATATGTTTGAGATGTTGATATCGTACCTGCATCAATCACTGTCTCTGGCAGCCCATTCCATATACACATCGCTCTCAGAAGTTGCCTCTCAGGTCTTTCTTAAATCTTGCCTTTCTTACCTTAAACCTACACCCTCCAATTTTCAATTCCCCATCCTTGGGAAAAAGACTATGAATTCATCCCATCTCTGCCCCTCATGATTTCATACACCTCAATAAGGTCATCCGAAGAACATCCCACACAGACCCACTCCCCCACCCTCTCCCCACCTTTTAGAATGGCCAATCCACCATAACCTGCACATCTTTGGACTGTGGGAGGAAACTTATGCAGACATGGGGAGAATGTGCAAACTCTACACAGACAGTTGCCAGAGGGTGGAATTGAATCTGGGTCCCTGGTGCTGTGAGGCAGTAGTGCTAACCACTGAGCCGCCCATGCTCTCTTTAATCCTGAGGTTATTATTTTGAGATAAAAGCCGAAAGAACTGCTGATGCCTTGTATCAGTAAGGAAAGCAGAAATTGCTGGAAAAGAACATAAGAACTAGGAGCAGGAGTAGGCCATCCAGCACCTCGAGCCTGCCCCGCCATTCAATAAGATCATGGCTGATCTTTTTGAGACTCAGCTCCACATACCTGCCCGCACACCATAACCCTTAATTCCTTTACTGTTCAAAAATTTATCTAGCCTTGCCTTAAACACATTCAGCGAGGTAGCTTCAACCGCTTCACTGGGCAGGGAATTCCACAGATTCACAACCCTTTGGGTGAAGAAGTTCCTCCTGATCTCAGTCCTACATCTGCTTCCCTTTATTTCAAGACTATGCCCCCTAGTCCTAGTTTCACCTGCTAGTAGAAACAACCTCCCTGCCTCCACCTTATCTATTCCTTTCATAATCTTATATGTTTCTATAAGATCTCCCCTCATTCTTCTGAATTCCAATGAGTATAATCCCAGCCTACTCAGTCTCTCCTCATAATCCAACCCTCTCAACTCTGGAATCAACCGAGTGAATCTCCTCTGCACCCCCTCCAGTGCTAGTATATCCCTTCTTAAGTAAGGAGGCCAAAACTGCAAACAGTACTCCATGTGTGGCCTCACCAGGACCCTATACAGCTGCAGCATAGCCTCCCTGTTTTTAAACTCCATCCCTCTAGCAATGACAGACAAAATTCCATTTGCCTTTTTAATTACCTGCTGCACCTGCAATCCTACTTTTAGTGATTCAGACACAAGGTCACCCAAAGTCCCTCTGCACAGTGTGCTGCAATTTTTTACCATTTAAAACATCGTCCATTTTGCTGTTAGTCCTACCAAAATGGATGACCTCACACTTATCAACATTGTACTCCATCTGCCAGACCTTTGCCCACTCAGACCATCTATATCCCTCTGCAGACTTTCAGTGTCTTCTGCACACTTTGTTCTACCACTCATCTTAATGTCATCTGCAAATTTTGACACACCACACTTAGTCCCCAACTCCAAATCATCCACATAAATTGTAAACAATTGCGGTCCCAACACTGATCCCTGAGGCACACCACTAGCCACTTGACCGCCAACCAGAAAAACACCCATTTACCCCTACTCTTTGCTTTCTACTCATCAACCAATCCTCTACCTAAAAGCTCAGCAAATCTGGCAGCATCACTGAAGAAAAGTCAGTTAACATTTTGGGTCCAGTTCCGAGGACGAAAGGTTAGCTCTTGATTTCCCTTCACAGATGCTGCCAGACCTGCTGAGCTTTTCCAGCAACTTCTGCTTTTGTTCATTATTTGTGCTGGTTGGAAGTCCAATGTCCCTCTGCATTCCCCCCAGTGTAACTGGCAGTGTAGCTCAAGGCCTTACACATGAACCCCACGATATCTGACCTGGTACTCCTCGGTGTTCATGCACAATGATCAGGTCGGTCACTCCACTGGCCTTGCATGCTCTCATGAGCGCGTCAATGTCATGCTTCCCTCGGTTCATGCGCTGGGCGTTTGGGAAAATCAGCTTAACTTCCTGAAACAAAAAGATGGAGAGTTCTGGGGAATGAGACCCAGCTGGAAGCAAGAGCCCAGACCTGCTATCCGGCGACCGCTCACTCCCCCCGCCCCCCCAACCCTCGCAGCAGAGCTGATCTGAAACCGACTGGGCGCCAGCCTGGGATGCCAAGCGACCCTCGGAAAGCAGAATCCCACTCTCACCTTGGCAAACTGCTTGAGCTTGGAGCTGGGATCCCGGGATGTCGTGACCATGACCTTTGGATCTTCCACTCCGGCCCACTTGTATTCGTCATCTATCTGACTGCTCACTCCTGCAACGAGCCACAAGTTAGCAAGGTAACAGCAGCTTACACAGTGAACTACACCAGCGCCCCCCAAACCCAGCTCCCCCGCTTGCCTCGTCTGGAACTGTTACACTAAACTGTAAGGCACTGACTTCTTCTACTGTATCATACCTAAGCACTTGCCATGATGCAGCCCACCCACAACTGTACATTGATTCCACCCTGACATCGACTGCCGTACTAAGCCTAATGCATTTGGATTTCAAAAATCATTGACACACGGGTCTACATTTATTCACTCCTTGAATGTACTCTCTATCCCCACACTTCGCGCCCCGAAATAACCTGGTCACTGCACCTCCCCCAGGAACTCGCCCTGTTCTTCGATCCCACAATGCCCAACGCTCCCTGCCCTACGCGCGGCGCTAATCAGCTCTGTTCTCCTGCACCCCCATCCCCCCTTGCAGGTTTAACAGCGCACCCTCACCTTCGCCCCCCTCGTCATCGTACTCTAGGACCTTCTGCAGATCCAGCGCCTCCCGTCGCAGATCTGTGGGGATCAGCCGGTTCTCTGCAAGGCGAGAAAGGAGAATGGTTAATGTCACCGCCGCAACCTAGGAATCCTGTGCTTAGTATCCGCGGAGATAGTAAGAACTGCCAATGCTGGAGTCAGAGATAACACAGTGAGGAGCTGGAGGAGCACAGCAGGCCAGGCAGCATCAGAGGAGCAGGAAGGTTGATGTCTCGGGTCAGGATAGTATCCGCAGGGTGCCTGCCCAAGTCAATGGAACGTGCGTGTGAGTGTCCAGCTAACTTGGCTAGCCACCTCTTTATCTAGAGAGCGTAGGGCAGTGGTACTTTCATCGCACTAGCAATGGAGAGGTCCAAGCTAATACATGGGTTCAAATCCCACTTACAGCTGCTGATGGAATATCGATTGAAACATTCATAATCGTAAATTAAAGCCAGTCTCACCAACAGAGACTATAGAAACTAAAATCAGATGCCGTTAAAACCCATCTGGATCGCTAGCTGCCTATAGGAAAAGTCTGTTCTCCTTACCCTGAACTATATATAAGGAGAGGCTAGAAAAACTAAGGTTGCTTTGTTGGGAGCAGCAGAGGTTGAGGGGAGACTTGATAGAAGTTTATAAAATTGCAAGATGCATAAATTGGGTCAACAGTCAGAATCTTTTTTCCCCAGAATTGAAGTGTCTAATACTAGGGGGCATGTTCAAAGGAGATGTGAGGGGCAAGTTGTTTTTCTTCATGTACAGAGAGTGGTACGTATCTGGGTGGTGGAGGAGGAAGATACGGTAAGGGTATTAAGAGGCTTTTAGTTAAGTACATGAATTTGCAAGAAACGGAGGGCTATGGACCAACAGCGGGCAGAACGGATGTTTAATTTAGCATCATGCTCGGCACAACATTGTGGGCCAAAGAACCTGTTCCTGTGCTGTACCGTTCTAGTTCTATGTGACTATCGGCTAGAAGGAAAAGGGCAGTAGATACATGGGAACACCACCCTTTGCAAGTTCCTTCCAAGCAACTTGCCATCCTGACTTGGAACCCCATTCCTTCACAGTCGCTGGGTCAAAATCCTGGAACTTGCTCCCTAAAGAGCACTGTGCTTGGGGTGACATGGGGACTGCAGCAGCTCGACAAGGTGGCTCACTATCACCTTCTCAAGAGGCAACTAGGGACAGGCAATGCATGCTGAACCACACCCCATGGCTGAATTTTTAAATAGAAATCCAAATCGTTGCTCTTTTCTGAAGACGACTCACTCACAGGACGTGAATGCTGTTTGGCTGAATCAGCATTTATTGCTTGTCCTTAATTGCCCAGATGGCAGTTAAGAGGCAACCACATTATTGTGGGCCTGGAGACACATGTAGGATAGAAACAAGCCCTTTGACCCAACACGTCTCTGCCAACCAACAACTACTTTTTACTTGCACTTGGTGTTGGTTCTACTATGCCCTACCACTTCATGTGATCATCCAGATGCTTCCTAAATGTTTAGAGTACGTGCCTCCAGCATGTTTCCATATACCTACCAACCTCTGGATGAAAAAAAATTCCCATCAAATCTCCTCTAAACCACTCTCTCTCCTCACCTTAATCTTATGTTCTCTGGTCTTAGACACATCTGCCATGGAGAGGAAGAGATTCTCATTATTTGTTCTGCCTGTAACTCTTATAACCTTGTATATCTCTATAAGGCTGCACCCGCCACCCCCCACCCTTCCCCCCCCACCGCCTCCAGCACCCCCCCACCCCGCCCCCAAACACACTCATCCCTGTTCCAGGGAAAACAAACCCAGCCTACCCAGTTTCTCCTCATAACTGAGACTTTTCAACCCAGGCAACATCCTCTGCACTCTCTCCAACACACACATCCAATACTGCACACAGTATTCCATCTGTGGCCTAACCAATGCAAGTTCAGATCAGCTAAGGATGGCAGTTTCCTTCTCTAAAGGACAACAGTGAACTAGATTTCTTTTTCCCCTGAAATTCAAAAATTGTTTCATAGTCACTGATAAAGACTTTTAATTCCATGTTTTGTCATTTCACAACTTGGCCAGACAAGTCGACCCTTCTGTAAATCCATTGCTGTTAGGATAGTGAAGGCAGAATCTGGTACACTTGCCTTTATTGGTCGCTATACGGAGTATAGTAGGAGGAAAGCCATGTTGCAGCTGTAGTGGACGTTGGTGAGGCCACTTTTGGAATACTGCGGTCAATTTTGGTCTCCCTACTACAGGGAAGATGTTATTAAACTTGAAAGGGTTCAGAAAAGTATTGCAAGGATGTTGCCAGGGTTGGAGGGTTTGGGCTACAAGGAGAAGCTGAATAGGCTGAGGCTATTTTCCCTGGAGCAACAAAAGCTGAGGGGTGATCATAGAGGTTTGTAAAATCATGAGGGGCATGGATAAGGTAAATAGTCAAGGTCTTTTCCCTGGGGTCGCGGAATCCAAATCTAGAGGGGCATCAGTTTAAGGTGAGAGGGAAAAGATTTAAGAGAGACCATAAGGGCAACATTTTCATACCGAGGATGGTGCGTATATGGAACGAGCCGAGGCTGGCACAATTACAATATTTAAAGTGCATCTGGATGGGTACCTGAATAGGAAGGGTTGAGGGGGATACGGGCCAAATGCTGGCAAATGGGACTAGATTAATTCAGGATATCTAGTTAGCCTGGATGAGTTGGACTGAAGCATCTGTTTCGTGCTGTATGACTCTACTACACACCAGTGGCAGGAGGCAGAAAAGGGAGTTTCCTGGTCACCTACTGTTGACACCAAGTTCACCCCACAAACCTCTAGCGACAGGCTAGGGACTGCTCAGAGATAAACCCTCGAGCTTTCATTGTATCAGAGGCCTTTTAGCCCATGAGTCTGTACCGACAAAAACTACTTTAAATCTACAAAACTACAGTCAACAAAAATACTGAAGAACTGTGGATGTTGGGTATCAGATATCAGAAGCAACAACAGAAATTGTTGGAAAGACTCAGCAGGTCTGGGGAGAAAGCAGATTTAACATTTCGGGTTCAGCAATCCTTTTTCCGTCTTCAGGTTCCACCCCACTCTTTCAAAGAATCATCCTCCTCAGCCATTGCCTTCCCCACCTCTCCAAGTCAGCATTCTGCAGGGACTGTTCCCTCTGTGACTCCCTGGTCCACTCCTCCATTGCTCCTAACACTTCCTTACTCCCCTGTGGCAGCTTCTGAAGCAATCGCAGGAGGTGTATCACTCATCCATTCACTGTCCAAGGCCCCAAAACCATTGAAGCAGCGATTTACCTGCACTTTGCTGAATCTACTTAGTATATGCTGCTCGGTGTAGGACCTGCTTTATATTGATGTGATTGAACTTAGACTGGGTGACTGCTTTGCAGAACACCTCAGCTCTATCTGTAAGAATGACACCGACCTTTCGGCATTTAGAGTCAGAGAAGTCCACAGCACAGAAATAGGCCCTTCAGCCCATCGAGTCTGCACTGTTCAAAAACAAGCACCTATTCTACTCCCATTCTACAGCACTTGACCTTATATGGCTGGGCATCACAAGTGCACATCTAAAAATGTCTTGAATTTCATGAAGGTTTTTCTTTGCCTCTATCGCCATTACAGGCAGTGAGTTCCAGATTTTCCAGCTTTTCACTTAACCATCTTGCTCTCATGCGAACATTTGCATCCTGCGCCTCCCACTGGAGCACAGCGCAAGCTGGAGGAACAACACCTTATTTCCCACTTAGATACTTTACAGCTAGTGAAATGAGTGCTCAATTCCATAATTACTAAAATCAATGTGAAATTTCACAGCTGCTGCTGTGGGAATTTGAAGCTGTGATCCAGAACTTTACCCTGGACCCGTGGCTTATGTGGCCACCATTACAAACAAGCCCCATCTCCCCTGATTCAAGGCTGGTTTGCGTAGATATCTGATTGAAATTAACAGTTATTTTGCAAGGCGGGAGCTTTGGTGATAGCAGAGAGAGTGCAGTTGTGACCTCAGAAAGCTATGTTGAATACTCCAAGTTCTATGTTCTAAAATGCAAGTTTTTCTGTCCTCCCTTATGTTTCGTTGAAACATTTACCCTAATTGGTCTTCATTGAACATTCACTGATTGTCAAAGCTACACCTATAGCAATTTCAGCAATGTTTCCCACTCTACCCACCCTTCCACCACCACCACCACCCCACCCCAATTTCCTGAACCCAACGATTCATTCATAGAATCCCAGCAGGATGGAAACAGGCCATTCAGCCCAACAAGTCCACACTGCCCCTCTGAAGAGCATCCCAAGAAACTTTGAGCCAACTGAAATAATTTGTTGGTTTTAAAGCAAATGAGAACAGCATTCAGAAAGTACACAGCACAGAATGAAGGCTATTTGGAGATGTCAAAGACTCCCAGGTGCACTGGTAGTGTCCTAACCTCCGAGGCAGGAGGCCTGGGTTCAAGTTCCCAGTGGTGTGCAGTGACATACAATCACCAGTGTGGGAGCAGGCCATTTGGCCCAGAGGTCACACCGACCCTCTGAAAAGCATTCCACGCAGACCCACTTTTTCCTTGTAACCCTGCATTTCCCACAGCCAATCCACCTTAACCTGCTTGTCTTTGGACTGCAGGGGGAAACCGAAGTACACGACGGAAACGCATGCATACACAGGGAGAATGTGTGAACTCCAGACAGATAATCGCTGAAGAAACCTAGGTTCCTGGTATTGAGGCAGCAGTGCTAACCACTGAAGCACCGTGCCACTTGATAGCATCTCTGCACAGTTTGATTAGAAACTGTTTCAAACACTCACAGGGCAGGTACAACACAGGGTTAGATACAGAGTAAAGCTCCCCAACCTCAAAGCCCTGAATCCAGAGACTGGCACATGAACGTATCTCACCTTCAAGGGCGTGTTTTAGTTTCTGTTTCTTCTCCTCAATGCTGTGCAGCTTATCCTCCTGCGCTTTACGGTAGAGATACTCCCTCCGCAGCCTAGCTTCACGGCGCAGCTAAACAGGGTCAACAGAGGGGCAGGTCAACGATAGCACATTGGGCACTCACACAACCAGACATTCATTAGCAAAAACCTCAGCACCAAGTAGAAACAGAAGTAAAAGGGATGGCCAACAAAACCAACCATGAAGTTCGACAAAGAGACACAAGATTGGGTTGGGGCACTGAAAGGTGCCAAGGTGGAGATCCCTGTGCATTTTGCGTTCCAGCTAAACCAATAGTTAGCACACAACAGTGTGATTTGGCCAGTCTCACTCCCTTCTCTGGGTGTGAAGATCATAAACTAAAACCACAAATCAAGGCAGGCACACCAGACAGGGGCTGAATCAAGCACCACACCCTGAGGAGAGAAGCTATTCATCCTCTCAACATTACAACGGTGATAAAATCTCAGCAGCATCCTTCGCTTGCTGCACACCTCACACCCTGAGGAGAGGTGCTGTGGAGATGTCCACCCTTTGCATTTCATTCTCTCCACACTCCTCACTACTCACTACTTCAGCCCTCATTATCTAATCTCTACCTCACTTAGAATCCATATCCCCGCCCCACCAACCAGCCTCATCACACTCTCCCCTCCCTTCTTCCTGTTTCTCCCCTCTATCACCACCCTCAGCCCCCACCCTCTTCCTCCCCGCCCCCTCTACCCTCCAACCCCCTTTCTTCCTCCCACCATCACCATCACCATCACCATCACCATCACCATCACCATCACCAT